AATTTTGTGTTGTGTTTTGAATTGACATTTTGGCCTAAATGTCAATACAAGACAACAACTAAACAACATTTAACTGAACATCAAATAATTCATTCAGAAATAAAACCATTTAAATGTGATTTTAATAATTGTAATAAAAGTTATAATAAACATTCACATTTAATTAAGCACAAAAATGGAGTTCATTTAAATGTGAGATTTAGTTGTGATTTCAATGAATGCAACAAAATTTTTAAATCAAAACAGGCTTTATTTGCACACAAAAGTTGTGTTCATTTAAAACATGATCCAAAGTATCGCTGTTTTTGGCCAAAATGTCAATTCAAAACACAACACAAAATTTATTTGGTTTCACATCAATCAAAACATTCATTAATAAAACAATTTAAATGTGATGTTAATAATTGTAATAAAAGTTATCATACGAAAGGACAGCTCCAACAACATAAAAATAGCATTCATTTAAATATTAGATTTATTTGTGATTTCAATGAATGCCACAAAAGCTTCAAAACAAACGGCGATTTATTTCGACACAAAAGTTGTGTTCATTTGAATGAAAGGAAATTCAAATGTAATGAAGAAAATTGTGGCAAAAGTTTTCACACAAAACATAAACTTAATCGACACAAAAGCGTACATTCGGGAGAAAAACCATTTATTTGTCATTTCAATGATTGTAACAAAAGGTTTTCGATAATATCTGGTCTCAAACAACACCGGAAAACACATTTAATTGAATAATCAAATCTTGATAAATATATTATAATAAAAGTTGTAAAATCAAAATTTTATAAAATTATATGAATTAATGTAAAAATCATACATTTAAATTTAATATGAATTAGAAATATTTTTTTTAAAACTTAATCCTAATTAAGTTATTCATATAAAAGTGCAAATCATGTGTACAAACACTATAAAATAGATATAAATAAATTAATATTTGTTTGAATAATTTTAGGTTAATTATTAAAACTCGCATTAATTACAATAACATTTAAATTATATGCATTTGTTTTATTAAAAACTTTCATAATTTAAATCAATACATTTAACTTATAAATTAACGTTTATTTTAAATTAATAAACATAATATTAAACATTTTATTTCATTTTAAAAATCATTGTTATTTAACTAATTGAAAATTACAATTATTAATAAAGGCCTTAATTAATAACTACCATAATTGTAAGACAAATTCATTATAGCCTTCTTGTGTTACAATAATTAAATTCCACAAAACATGTTTAAAAGTAATTGCTTTCCCAATATATTGTAAATCTGATTAATATTAAATTAGCAATATAAACATGCTATTAATATTAACCAAATAAACTATGGATTATCATATCAAAAGGCATCAGCGACCCATTGATCAACACTGGGATCCTATTGTGTCAAAAATTACCGGCCACTGTTTGACCAAGGTTATATTTGTTCTTAAACCAGTGCCAATTAAAGCCCACCCGAGCGGACACACTATCATCCCTTTTAGGTGTAATCAAACTTCTCGGCTGAGTACAAACCAACATTATATACCGGTGACTACCGGTGCCCCTCCCGGGCGTCGGCGGTACGTATGCGTTGACAATATCACCCGATTGTATGCCATCGCCAGCGATGTTCATCACCAGCCAGTGTTTAAATGGGCGCAGGGAGGGGTCGGCACGTGTGGGCACGTCTATGTCCATCATTGCCAACGCGTACAGCGTGTCCGCCCGTGCGAAACCATTTCCCGTATTTATTTCAGGTCTTCATTTTATTTAATAAAACACTCGGTAATTTTGAACACATTTTGTGAATTAAAACTTTATTCATAATTAAAATTTAATATGTACAATTCAAATTTATACCTTGATTTAATAATGAAAGAATCAATTGATTGAAACAAGGTATTTGTGACTCCAATAACCTTAATACCAAGTAATACTGTGTACATCATGACGATATAAAGGCATTAATTAAAACATCATTTAAATCATAAGCATTAATTTTTTACAATTATGGAAAATATATATTATTATTTTATTTGACAAATATTATAATAAGTTATGTTATACAATTTATGTAGTACAAAAATTAATTATTATAATTAAATATGTATACTGTATGAATAATAGTAAAAATGTTTATTATTTATGTCTTTTCAAATGTCGAATAAGATTAGAATTTGAAATAAAATTTTTATTACAATTATAAAATTAATGTTGTTAATACTGTATTGGATTATATTTGATTTAAATTACAATTATTTAAACATTGATATTATTTATAAGTATTTTGTAAATTATTCTACAAATCAAAGTCCAAAACAAAATGACAAATAATTTATTAAATAATTTGTCAAAACATATAAAAGCACTCAAAGATATGGATCAGACAATCGGTCAATAACTCGGATGACAGCAAATCCATGGCTAGTGTTTTGAGACAATAAAATACAAATATTGATTAATCTATTAGGTATTTGATAATAAATATATTGAATTAATTTTAAGTAAATAAAATGATATTTTCTGTGTTGCTTTTAATTATCATTTATTACAATGTTTTTTTGTATTTAAGTGTGTTTTTAATTCATGTGTCGTAACAAAGCGTTGATTACAGTTATTATGAATACATTTATGAAGTTTTATATTATTATGTCTTTTCATGTGTTGTTTTAAATCCTGACAATAAACAAAACTTTTGTTACAACCGTTAAAATGACAAACAAATGGTTTATCTCCGAAATGTATTTTTTTATGTCGACTTAAATTACTATTACAATTAAATCTTATGTTACATTTATTACAGGCAAATGGTTTTTCGCCCAAATGAAAGAGTTTGTGTCGAATGAGATCTACTCTCCATTTGTAAATTTTTCCACAATTTTTTTCATTACATTTGAATTTTCTTTCATTCAAATGAACACAACTTTTGTGTCGAAATAATTGGTATTTTGTTGTAAAACTTTTGTTGCATTCATTGAAATCACAAATAAATTTCACATTTAAATGAATGATATTTTTGTGTTGAATTAAATCTTTGATTCGTTTATAACTTTTATTACAACTATTGAAATTACATTTAAATTGTTTTATTTCTGAATGAATTATTTGATGTTGAGTTAATTGTTGTTTAGTAGTTGTCTTGAATTGACATTTTGGCCAAAAACAATGCATTTCTTTTGCACCTTTCAAATGAAAAGTATTTTTGTGTTGAAGTAAATTTGATTTTTGATGAAAACTTTTATTACAATTATTAAAATCACATTTAAATAGTTTTAATGATGAATGAATTAATTGATGTTGTTTTAGATCCCTTTTTCGTTGTGTCTTGTATTGACATTTAGGCCAAAAACAGTGGAAATAATCATCAGATTTAGTAATGATAT